CACTACCTATTCCATTGACTGATCCTATGTGAATTACACTACCAATTCCACTGATTGATCCTATCTGAATTACACTTCCTATTCCACTGATTGATCCTATCTGAATTACACTTCCTACTCCACTGATTGATCCTATCTGAATTACACTGTCTATTCCATTGACTGATCCTATCTGAATTACACTTCCTATTCCACAGATTGATCCTATCTGAATTACACTTCCTATTCCACTGATTGATCCTATCTGAATTACACTTCCTATTCCACTGATTGATCCTATCTAAATTACACTACCTATTCCATTGACTGATTCTATGTGAATCACACTTCCTATTCCACTGATTGATCCTATCTAATTACACTACCTACTCCACTGATTGATCCTATATGAATTACACTTCCTACCCCACTGATTGATCCTATCTGAATTACACTACCTATTCCATTGATTGATCCTATCTAAATTACACTACCTATTCCGCTGATTGATCCTATCCAATTACACTACCTACTCCACTGATTGATCCTGTCTGAATTACACTACCTATTCCATTGATTGATCCTATCTCATCACACTACCTACTCCACTGATTGATCCTAGCTGAATTACACTACCTATGCCATTGACTGATCCTATGTGAATTTCACTACCTATTCCATTGACTGATTCTATGTGAATCACACTTCCTATTCCACTGAGTGATCCTATCTAATTACACTTCCTATTCCACTGATTGATCCTATCTGAATTACACTTCCTATTCCACAGTGTATGACTGTTATATCACCTGTATATGATTCTTATATCACCTGCGCATCATTGTTATATCACCCGTGTATGACTGTTATATCACCTGTGTATGATTCTTGACTGCTTAGCAGAAAAGTATCATTTCCTTTCCATCAATCAAATGTGTAGTTTACTTTTCTCTGTAGACAACATAACAACACACTCCAAACATAAACTTTTGGTTTTTGTATGTTTCCTCCATTTACCTTCTTGATATTTTCAAACAAGTCCGAGAAATCTTGTTTCTTGTCGTCAACAGAGGGAATGAATTCATGGCGCCACACATAGTTGAACATCTACAACATATTAAAAAAACATTTCTTATTTCATGTTAAAAGCCAAAAAAAACCCCAACATATTTGTAAGTCTCATAAGGCCTGTATCACTCTATATTTTGTGTTATCTGTCTGTACATAGGCCCCAAGGAAGCTACATTCTTCCTTTATAATATAGCCGATTCCCCTAGGTCAAAAGGACCAAAGAGGCTTCATTGTGAATTTGATTCAGATCCCAATATATGTATAAACCTTATATTTTTATATTGGGGGATCCCAATCATTTCTAATTAGGAATTAGGGGCAATCACAGAAGCATCATCATGTGTGTATCTGTCTCTTCATGCCTTGCAAAAGTATATTGTAAATGCATAGGGACTCAACAGTTTCCGCTGAACACATCTGACTAACCTGGAAGTTGTAGGTGAGGATACACCGGACTTACCTGGAAGTTGTAGGTTAGAATACACCTGACTAACCTGAAAGTTGTAGGTGAGAATACACCCAACTAACCATGAAGTTGTAGGTGAGGATACAACGGACTAACCTGGAAGTTGTAAGTGAGAATACACCGGACTTACCTGGAAGTTGTAGGTGAGGATACACCGGACTAACCTGGAAGTTGTAGGTGAGAATACACCGGACTAACCATGAAGTTGTAAGTGAGGATACACCGGACTTACCTGGAATTTGTAGGTGAGGATACACCGGACTTACCTGTAAGTTGTAGGTGAGGATACACCGACTTACCTGTAAGTTGTAGGTGAGAATACATCCGACTAACCTGGAAGTTGTAGGTGAGAATACAACCGACTAACCTGGAAGTTGTAGGTTAGAATACACCCGTCTAACCTGGAAGTTGTAGGTGAGGATACACTAGACTAACCTGGAAGTTGTAGGTGAGGATACACCGGACTAACCTGGAAGTTGTAGGTGAGGATACACCGGACTAACCTGGAAGTTGTAGGTGAGGATACACCGGACTAACCTGGAAGTTGTAGGTGAGGATACACTGACTTACCTGTAAGTTGTAGATGAGAATACATCCGACTAACCTGGAAGTTGTAGGTGAGGATACACCGGACTTACCTGTAAGTTGTAGGTGAGGATACACCGACTTACCTGTAAGTTGTAGGTGAGAATACATCCGACTAACCTGGAAGTTGTAGGTGAGAATACAACCGACTAACCTGGAAGTCGTAGGTTAGAATACACCCGACTAACCTGGAAGTTGTAGGTGAGGATACACTAGACTAACCTGGAAGTTGTAGGTGAGGATACACCGGACTAACCTGGAAGTTGTAGGTGAGGATACACCAGACTAACCTTGAAGTTGTAGGTGAGGATACACCGACTTACCTGTAAGTTGTAGATGAGAATACATTTCGACTAACCTGGAAGTTGTAGGTGAGGATACAACTGACTAACCTGGAAGTTGTAGGTGAGAATACACCCGACTAACCTGGAAGTTGTAGGTGAGAATACACCCGACTAACCTGGAAGTTGTAGGTGAGAATACACCGGACTAACCTGGAAGTTGTAGGTGAGAATACATCCGACTAACCTGGAAGTTGTAGGTGAGATTTGCGGACAGGGAGCCAGGGACTCGCTCAGTGTTGAGGAGATTGAATCCCTCAGGAGTCGCCGAGTCCTTCAGGATGGAGGCAATGTTATGGTCTTTAGTATCATCCACCTGGAATCAGACAAGCATCACAAGAAGTGAAAGATGTTATCCATATACTTTATCGTTATTTTCATTTGAACAGCAATCCTCCAATTAGGGCTTCCCTGAGAGAAACTGTTCTTCCTGTACAACTTTTGAAAACCCTGTTTATAGTCTGTGTTTCAGGAAATCAAAATTGTACCATGAAATTTGAGTTCAGATACTGTCAAAAATTCTATCTCAGTTCTCATTCTCATAATTTATCATATTATCAAAAATATATTGAGAATTTTTCTTAAAATTCTTTCTTGCTTGAATATATCTATATTTATATGCACTTTAATAAAATGTTGGTGGCATAATAATGATTACCCGAGGCATTTATGGCCAAATTCCTGCACAGTTAGACTCATCTAAAAGCTTGTGAAATGCCTTTTTCAATGATACCCAATTTCCGACATTACTCAAGAAATTAAAGTTTTAGCAGCTGTTGTAATTCCCTCTATGTTACTAGTTAAAATTGGCATAGATACCAAATGTGTTGTTCCGGGAAGTTGCACATGTGGAGCACGCACATTCAGCATTTATGAGAAGCAACTTGAATGCCACTTAAGATGATACAAACAAATTTCGAGTTCTCTTTCTAGAATAGTCGGAAAATGCAAAAGCTACACTGTCCTGCCTAGTTCAAATAAGATAACGCAAAGCGTGACATTATCCCCCACGCCCCGCTGTTTAAAAGAAAGACACACAATCATATATATATATATATATATATATATATAGCGATAAATAATTTTAAATGTCCGTGTGACGGTAAAAATATAAATAAAACAAAACACGAAGACTAGTATAATCGGCTAGCACTTTCGCCCATTGATGGGCTCTTCAGGCGATTTCATTTATATATATTTATATAACAATAACAGGTATTAACTCCATTCCACCACTGTTACTGATATTTTGATGTAGATCATCTTTTACAAAACACTGATGACTTCCCCATCAAAAAAGGCTTGATAAGAGCACAGGCTTGATATGAGCACTAGCTTCATAAGTGTACATAACTTTCTGTATACATCTTGAATGCATCGGCTTCAATAGAGTGCTAGGATGATAAGTGTACAAGTTAAATTTCAATTTGTTATTTTAAATTATAGTTTTGAGATCATGCTTCAGAAACCTCAAATTTCGTATTTTTACCTTTTTCCATGGCAACAGAAAAAGGAAAAAAATTATCCAAAATGAGAACTCCTCCAGTAGCAAAATGCACCAAGAGAGTACTAGCTTGTACAAAGGGTACAAAATTTCAGGCAGTTCTTGAACAATTTTGTTGCCATGCTCTGGAAACCGTGAAATTTGTGATTTTGCCTAACTAGAGTGATAGGATGATAAGTGGACAAAGTTTCAGGTACATGTAGTCATCTTGAAAGGTTTTGACATTTTACTCCGGAAACAGCGAAATTTGTAGTTTTGCCTATCTGTTTCCATGGTAACCAATAAAAAAAGAGAACTCCTCCATAGCAAAAGGCACTACCAGAATGCTAGCTTGATAGTTATACAAAGTTTCAGGTAGTTATCTTGAACGATTTTGGAGTCATGATCCATACAACTGAAATTTGCAATTTGGCCTATCTGTTTCCATGGTAACAGAAAAAGTATTTAAATGAAGAACTTCTCCATAGCAAAAGGCACTATTAGAGTACTAGCTTGATAACTGTACAAAGTTTTGAGTAGTTATCTTGAACGGTTTCACAGCTCTGGTCCGGAAAAAAACCATGCACGGACACACAGACGGACGAACGGACGGAGCCCAATTTAATATTCAAATTTCAACATGATGTACCTTAGGCAACTTCAGTGTATGGGTTATTACATCAGTGAAGATTCATGGAATTTGGATAAAAACTGAAGGAAGTCTAAAGTCAGACATAAGGGCAACCTGATCCCCCTATACTCCCTTAACCTCACTGTGGGGGGTTATAATTACAACTCTGATTACCTGTGGTGTACAACTAAGAGGACCATCAGTTCCAGCAGGTCAAGCAGTCAATTAGTCCAGTCCTCTTTATCATGAAATGACCAGGGTGGACAGAGGACAGGGATCAATAATTTATGATGTCTTCTGCATATATGCTCTTGTGTGGGCCTTTGTAGCTGACTATTATCTCTCCAGTGTTATAAATACTATTACTACACAGACAAGTACTGATAGGTAGGGGGAGGTCGATGTATTTACGAGTCACTAGGTACAGATCTTGGTATCCTTACTTAACTAGACATTACGCCTGGGTACATATGTACCCAACTATACATGATTTATCATTATAAACACATGAACCTTTCTAATATTCATCTACATTAAGATGACTGTCAGTGCCAAGGAAATAAATAGAACTGTAACAATACAGAAAACTTTATATTTTTGAACATAAATATCTTATCTACAAGAGTTGCTGGGTCATGAAGTCTACAACACTTCTAAGTACATGTATGCTAGAAGGCACACTGCCCGGGTGTATTTTTTTCCTCTGAATCCATGTATTTCCACGAAATTCCATGGAACAAATCTATGCAATATATGAATATTATTTTTCAGAGTTCCACATGATTAAGAAAGCATTGAATACGGAAATCTGTGGAAATCTGTGGAAAGATATTTCTCTCTGGAGAATGTACACCCAGGTAGAGTAATGACACAGACTAAGGTTTGTCTCAATACTGGGGCAATGGGAGTCAGATTTCTAAAGAGGGCTTCAAAAGTAATCACATAGGTATTGCTTACCTCAGTGCAGTCTTTAGTAAAAAAAAATGTTTGCATTAATGTAGTTTGTGTGTTTTGATACTTTGAACAAGATACATGTATGTACCTCAAGTATAAATGTATTCTTGTTGCCGGAGGAGAGTTCAAGGTCAGATACGTCATCGTCACTCTCATCTGTTGTCACACTGTGTGGGCTCGTCTGTCCCGTGTCCTGAAAAAGACAACAAATCTACAGTTACATCAGGAGACAGAAGTACTGCAGCACAACACTCTTATTAAAGCTAACAACAAATTGTTATCTGGTTTATTTTCAAATATACTGAAATCCATAAATAAAACTGTATGCAATGGGGGTTTAAATTTACTATCTGAAACCAAGGAACTCCCCAAAAATGTGTGCAAAACAGAATGAATGAATTTGAGTGAGAAAATGAGAGAGATAAACTAATCAGCCTTTGAACTACTGGACTTGGAAAAATAAATGGCTGAGTAGTTTATTGTACTGTAATACAAAATTAAATTGATGATTTAACATATCAACAATTTCAATTTAAAATTGTAGTGAAATTATTTTAAAATAAACATAAGAATTCAGACTTTTTTGTTAAATTCTGATTCTTCCGATTACAACAAGTAACCAGTCCCTAATCAATAACAGAGCCATTGATTTAACTTGGAGTCAACCTCTATAGACGCTGACCAAACTTGTAATTATAACAGGAAGTAAAGCATCACAACTACTGCTCCTAATAACAGGGCAATCAAGTAATTAAATAATTAGATATTGATTTCAAATGCTGTCGCAGTGTTGACAGAAATATTTCTGAAAGGTAATGTATTGTAGGTATGTATTGGAATAGTTTGGCAAGCTGCTAATGTTGGTGTTACTTGTGTGTGAGTAAGACCTGTATATATAGAAAGCATCAAAGATAAAAGTAATCAGAAAAGAAAAATCTGTCCATGACTTTTGTCAGGTGTGAAATCTTGAAAACAAGTTAAAGGTAATTTTAATGAATTCTGTTGAACTTAATGTTAAAATCTGAAATGATTTGATAAATGAATCAGCTGATTTACATGACATTCCACCAAAATAATACTAACTCAAATAATCAAAATTTTGTGAAAAATTCACCACATGTTCCTCTGACGAAATTTCCAAATGCACAGTACATTTGTATTTGAAATAATATCATCAGAATCAAACAACTTTAACTGACGTTCTATTTCCATCAGTAGTTGTTGTCGGGAAATTTGTTTATAGAACCAAAAGTGTTTATAAATCTTCGGATTTCAAAATAAGTTAAAAGTCTTCAACCTTAGCTTAAATCAGATTAGAATGGATGGCTGGTTCCAGGGACACAGAACAATACAACACCTGTGATGACATTCAATGGTGATTGATGACGGGTCTTACCTGAATGGGGATCGAAGATACACACTGATATTTATAACGGTTCAAGTATTGGATCGTGACAATTACTTATAAATTCAATGGGTTTTTTATATAGATAAAAATATTCTAAGTAACACATCAAATGTACATTTAAAGTTTTGAAACCAGATTTGTAAATGTTAAATTATTCCAGACCGAGACCTCAATGAAAGAAATCCAGTAAACCTGGTGAATATCTCAATACGCTGACAAAAGATCGGACACATTAATCTCAGGTTATCTCTCCACCTCGAAAATCCAATCTCCCAACACCACATTTAACACATTCGCTCACAGCATTTCTTTTGGAATCTGATATTATCACGTTAAGGTTAGGACAGCTATACTGCAGAGATTGGTACTATATTGATATTTTTATATTTCTTTTTTCTACACCTATTACTTCTCACCACTGTAGGGAATACTGGTACAGATGTATAACATTTCACAGAGCTGTTTCCTCTAAAGCTCATTCAAACATTTTAAGACAGCTTTGTGGCAGAGATTATGCAATTTTGATAAAAGATTTCTTAAGTTGCATCCACTATTGTAGGAAACACTGGTACAGTTGTACAATGGCAAAAAGAACTTCTGGTTGAGATATAAAACATGATATTTCGTGTAACATGTGACTGATACAAAGATACATTGCTTGACTTTCTGATAAAAGGGGGCCCGATACCACATATTAAAAATCTGTATTGTAAAAGTTTCTTTGACTTTATAGTTGTTTAATATTGTGGGGATTATATTTCACGTTTGTCAGAATCTGAACTAGTCCAAGGGGATTAAAGTTCATGAAACATTGCCGAAAACCCCCATTATGAGGTTACTTTGGTTTTTGGGTGATGGGATTATTTTTACAAGTGTTTTATCAAAATAACAACAAATACAATATTGAATTGTCGTTCTATCGCCACTGCTTGGTAGTAAATGGATAAACATGTTGTTTTTTTTATCTCTGAAAATTTAAGGTATTAATGATTGCTTGGTATTTAATTTCACACTTTCACGGATATAGCAAATTAGATCCCCCTTAGAATATTACCTACTAAATACAGTATAATATTAATAATATTTGTGTGCTTGTATTACAGCTTACACATGTATATGAACAATTAAAGCTTAAACCACAGAAACATTTCTTGAGCATGTACAACAGCAAGCATAAATCTCATAAAACCTGTTTAATCCGACCCCTTATTTAGAACTTGCTTCCGTGTACTAGAGCACAAGCCCAAAATGAAGTGTGAAGTAGTAAATTACAAACCAAATCTACGATAGTCCCAGATATTAACAAGTCTCTGTGACCTTTAAATAAACCATGGTGGTGACATTAGCGAAGTGATCTAGTAATTTTCTGATTTCTACGTTAATTTGTTTTAAACTTTGCTGAAGTTTTACCAATCTTCTTGGAATGTTTTGTGATGGATTGAAGTTTTTAAAATGAGGCAAGTCTTTGGTTGTTTTTTATGATAACAGAGAAAAAAAATACGAAAGCATCAGGAACACACTTATTCCATCATGCATTCTCATTTGGCAAAATACGGTATCCAGCAGCAGTATTTCCTGAATGTAGAAATGGTATATACAGTGTACATGTATTGAGTATTTATGCACTGATAATAGTATTCAAATTATTATCAACAACTACATGAAGCTATTCAGGCCTTATTGTATCTAGGCTACAAAAACACTGAAATATTATAGATGTTTATATGGACTATCTTGAACTGCTTTAACCTCTGTATATATGGGCTACCATACACTGCTGTGCCCTCTGTATATATAGGCTACCATACCCTGTTATGTCCTCGGTATATATGGGCTACCATACCCTGATATATAGGCTACCATACCCTGCTAGCCCTCTGTATATATGGGCTCCCATACCCTGCTATGCCCTCTGTATATATAGGCTACCATTCCCTGTTATGTCCTCGGTATATATGGGCTACCATACCCTGCTATGTCCTGTGTATGTATGGACTACCATACCCTGCTAGCCCTCTGTATATATGGGCTCCCATACCCTGCTATGCCCTCTGTATATATAGGCTCCCATACCCTGCTAGCCCTCTGTATATATGGGCTACCATACCCTCCTATGCCCTCTGTATATATAGGCTACCATCCCCTGCTATGCCCTCTGTATATATAGGCTACCATACCCTGCTATGCCCTCTGTATATATAGGCTACCATACACTGCTATGTCCTCTGTATATATGGGCTACCATACACTGTTATGTCCTCTGTATATATGGGCTACCATACCCTGCTATGCCCTCTGTATATATAGGCTACCATACTCTGCTAGCCATCTGTATATATGGACTACCATACCCTGTTATGTCCTCGGTATATATGGGCTACCATACCCTGCTATGTCCTCTGTATATATGGGCTACCATACACTGTTATGTCCTCTGTATATATGGGCTACCATACCCTGCTATGCCCTCTGTATATATAGGCTACCATACCCTGCTATGCCTTCTGTATGTATGGGCTACCATACCCTGCTATGCCCTCTGTATGTATGGACTACCATACACTGTTATGTCCTCTGTATATATGGGCTACCATACCCTGCTATGCCCTCTGTATATATGGGCTACCATACTCTGCTATGCCCTCTATATATATATGGGTTACTATACCCTGCTATGCCCTCTGTATATATGGGCTACCATACCCTGCTATGCCCTCTGTATATATGGGCTACCATACTCTGCTAGCCATCTGTATATATGGGCTACCATACACTGTTATGTCCTTTGTATAAATGGGCTACCATACACTGTTATGTCGTCTGTATATATAGGCTACCATACCCTGCTATGCCCTCTGTATGTATGGGCTACCATACACTGTTATGTCCTGTGTATATATGGACTACCATACCCTGCTATGTCCTCTGTATTTATATGGCCTACCATATACTGCTTTGTCCTCTGTATTTATATGGGCTACCATATAATGCTTTATCCCCTGTATTTATATGGCCTACCATATACTGCTTTGTCCTCTGTATTTATATGGGCTACCATATACTGATTTGTCCTCTGTATTTATATGGGCTACCATATAATGCTTTATCCTCTGTATTTGTATGGGCTACCATATACTGCTTTGTCCTCTGTATTTATATGGGCTACCATATACTGCT